TCTTGCGAGATACATTCGTTTTAAAGTGTTGGGTTCTTTGCTTGGTTATTTTATTTCGAATGTTTAAAAGCATAATTTGATTTTATTCCGTTCTTTTATGTTCTATTTGTCGATTATTGCATATTGTGCAACTAAAAATGTGATTCCTATTTTGCTTTATATGCGTGATATGATTTTGATTATTCGTATTGTGCTCGATATTTGTTATAATAAATATTTAAAAATGAAGTTACAAATCTTTCACGTCTAATCTTTAGAGATTAGATATTTTAGGTTTGATACTTGGGTGATTCATTTTTTCGTTGAATGAATCAGCTTCAGTTTCTTGCAAGGTAACCTCAATTCCACATATTGCGTCTTCGTTTACAATAATCTGATAAATATTTGGAAACACGACTTTCATTTTCTCTCACAATTAATTTCTTGCATCTACATTGCATTTTAAAAGCGGATTACGTCTGATTCTTTTTCTTGCATAGCGACTTAGTTTCTCTATATTGCATCCTCTTGCACGAAAAATATACAGATTTGGAAACAAAACTTACATTTATTCAATTTCTATCTCTATTTGTTTTATTTCATTATTTTGCAATCTATCATCTTAAGAAATATTTACTTTATTTATATTGAATTATATCTTTCTCATTACATATATTTTATCTTTTTATATTTTTTTTATTTTTGAAATTATATTGTTCATATTATTGAAAAATTTTATTTCACTTTATTTTATTCACAAATTTCACTTTCTCATGTTATTTTCATTATTATATGTTTAGCAACGAAGTTTTAACCTCAATCTCTTAACTTTAATTGGTTTTCTAACCTCAATCTCTTACCTTTAATTTTTAATCGGCATTTTTAGTTTAGAAATATTCACTTATTTAAAAATGCAATACGAATTTCTACTTATTTCTTTCATTTCGTTTCACTTTTTTATTTTTTTTTTTACACAAAATAATATTGAATATTCGAAACGTGACACATTCACATCCGCCATTTCCGATATTATCACGCTATCGAGAGTCACATTCGAGCGATATATCGAAGAAGCAGCTTGCCTCGCTTCGATTATTCGTTCAATATTAAATCATGGCTACTTGCCTGTGAGAATACGTTTATCGCAATATTATTCCAAGTAATCGCGAACTGACTATTTTCTTTTGTTTCTTTTAATTCTTTGTGGATTTTTTTTTTTTTCTCGTCTTTAAAAATGCAATAGAGATAAGTGGAATCATTGGTCAATTCCAGAATAGCATGAAAAAAAGAAATCGTAAAAATATGATTGATAAAATGAATTCTCGGGTTATAGAATAAATGCGTTTTAACATTACTTGTTAATAGCGGTAAATTTTCATTCTCATAAGGAATTTGATAAATCGATATCAATATTCCTTTCATAATCGAGGTGTTAATTTCGTTGGTTTCTTTAAATAGCTTTTTTTTTTGAATGCACTTTTTAATAACGATGGAAATAAAAATTGAGAAATAAATTGCAAATAATAAACAAAAATAACTGTTTTTCGATGTACATCAGGAAACACGTTCTTGAGTATGAAAAATATAGAAATAACGTTTTATTTATTTTTTATTTTCTTGCAATCGGATATATATAATTGTACGTATCTTGGATCATCGATATAGATTGCGTCATAAAATATTAGCTAAAAAACAATTGAAGGATCGATAACATCGGTAATTAATACTACTGATATATAATACATTTCCTGACATTGTCGCCACATTAATACAAGATAACATTATAGTTATCGTATGATCTTTCAAGTGTTATTTCTTTTTCGTATTTATATTTATTTTCAAAACCATTTTTTAATTTTTTTGAATAAATTTTTTTCATTATTTATTCATCCAAGTGCTGAACCGAGATGTTTTTTAATTTTTTTAAGATAAAATATTTTTGAATGATTTTTACTAGATATTTAAATTATCAAAATTTTAAATTTAAATAAAAAATTTATCTTTCCGCTTGTTGTTAAGGCATTAAGTTACTAATTTTTCTAAAGTTATATATTAAAGTCGTTAATGAAGTACAAGTTTAATAGAATTTGTAAACAAGTTATAATAATCCTAATATAGCTAGGAGATAGCAAAGTAATGATATTAACTCAGCTGATTACATTGATTTTAATCATCTTGATCTCGGCTCTAACTATGTACTTTCTTCCAAGTTTAGCAAATATAAACAGCTTCATAATGAAAAACATTACCGACATTATTTTATCATTATTCTACATCGTAAAATCTAAATCATTAAAATTGATTATTTTCGCTAATATGATTATAAAAATTTACCATCCTTTAACAAATTAATTTATTATAATTATTCGATCCATTGAACATTTTTTTAAACATTTTCAAAATCTCATTGTCTATCAAACTATAATTAAGTAATCATTATATTTTACTTCAAAACTTAACAAAAAAAAAAAAAAAAAAAAAAAA